TTATTATTATACAATTTTAGAATTAGAAAATGATGCAGTACTAAGCTGCCTTGTAGTGTTTGTGTCTCTCTTAGAGAAGAAGACATAATAGTTTGTCAAATAGTAGCTCGTAGTAAAATAACCCATAAACTAGTTGCACTTGATTTTGCTTGTCAAAATTGTAAAAAAAAAAGTTTGAGAATAATGAATTATCCAAATGTGAGGGATGTGGAATAGGAAGATTGCGAGTTGATTCAGATACTAATTACACCACTAGAAAATATGTTTGTCATTGTATCGAGCGCGGAGAAGATCCAAAAGAGAAAGAACTTCCGGTTTTACCTCATGAAGAAAGAGAACCCACTTTTACGAACGCCAAATCAATGATTTACGGGACAATTATAAATTAACTACTACTGAGGAAGCACTAGAAATAGAAAGAAAAGAAGTAGCCAAGTTTCAAGAAAAGTCTGAGGAGTGAAGTAAAAGACAAAAACAAGAGCTCTTGGATAGGATAAAAGAATTAGAAATTGATGTAGAAAGATTTAAAAAAACTCGTACAATTGGCTTATTTTAGTAAATGACGTGATATTATCGTTACGAACTCCTCAAGAATTGGTTAACAAAATAGAATCTTATAAAAAGAAGTTGCTCGATTAAAATCTCAATTAGAAAAATTGAATTCTCAACAGAAGGCTCAAATTGAAGTTAAAAAGTGACTTTGATTGAAAATAAGGAAGTATTAAAAAAATTAAAAGAAGATAAGCAAGTGACGTCAAATGTTCACTTTGTCTGGTTTTGTTGCAGCACACCCCATATTATAGGTTGAGCATCAGTCAAACTTTTTGGGTATAATAATAATTATAATATAGATTAATCAAACAAAATACAATTCAAAATCAGTCACTAAATTTGTGCACAGAACTTTCAATCACATAATAATAATTTGTTTGAATTGCATTTGTCTGGTTTGTTGCCATTCATAATCATAAAGGCCAAACTGACATACGTGTTGGAACGTTGATTTCAGGCTCATAGTATGACTTTGTTATGCTCATGTGTACATTCCTTTTATTTATTTCTTGTAATGTCTGCCAGGTGCACCTCAGCGACTAAAATAATTGTATTCTTCCAGAGCAAACTGTAAAACCCATGAGAGAGATGCCAATCATACATCACTCAGCACACCTAAACCTGTCATTGTTTATATACATAAAAATCTTGGAAAGTGAGAAGACGCAATTAATTATTGTTAAAGTGCAGTATTTTTGACTATCCTATAAACAATCTAATACCAGGGAATTCTTCAGGTAGAGAGTTGTTGACTGATGATAGACTGACAAGTTTCGCCCATTATTACCTAATTATCTGAACCTATATATATTCGTCCTTGTGTGTAAGCAAACACAGCTAATATAGTCAAGTGTGCAAAAAGACTAAAGCTGAATGGCGGTTCGCTTGAATACTTAAATTGAATAAGGAGCGACAGTCAATAAGAGAAGTGAACAGTGTTATGCTCGACACATTAGCAGAAATGTTCAATGAAAGAAATCGTTGTAATAAGCAAAGGTTGTTTGGACAATGAAATCAGGTAAATTTAGTCTGGTCGTGAATTCATTATTAACGAAATGCTCGGCGTAAGCTTGTCGTTAAAAATGTCAGGGTGTTTTTGTCTGTGGGAACACGCCGATTTAGTTAGTATATGAGATCATTAACAGCCACATATAAACAAATATGATATTTACCTGACGATTTCCAACATCCATGGTCAGCGACCCCTTAATCTTGACTCGGCCTAAAAATAGTGTATGCTCTGGTAAATAACAGTGAATAGCATGCACTCTGCACTTTGGTGAACACGGAGCTAGTGTAACAAGTGAGTACCGCATCAAAGAATGTTTTCTTGGCGACCGAAACCTATCGAGTACAACTCTATTGACAGGCTTACGCTGGTATTAAAGCTTTCTCGGCTACAAGCTGTTATGAAAATTTTCATCATGTCATATTGACTGAAAGCCGGAAACCCAAGATCCGTGGTTGTTTACGACGCTAGTAAATATTGGGAAATACCTTCTGCATGCAATAAGTAGTAAATAACTTCTCATGCGTTAGAACACCGGTTGTTTCACATGCAGTCTTGGTCGTGTGATCGTGCTTATATAATTAGATGATCTGCATCAAGATAACTTCACTGTCAAATAAGTTTATTATAATGGGTATTAACTGGCAAGTCTTTTGCAAGCTATTATAATTAGGTATTTGTGAATAATAAAAGAAACCAACCAATATGCTTGAACGTATCTCAGAATAAGGGATATTTTATTAATTTAATAAACAGAAGTACCTACTTAACATTATTATTAAATCGATAGTCTTGATACTACTTAATAATAGTTTTGTATTTCTAAGCAGTATATAAAAGGTTATCATAATAGACGAAGATAACCATACATGAAACAATATAAATAAGACCTAGCATAAAGTCGAAACTTGTACCGATTTGCTTATTCGAAAATCCGAGATTACTTAATCTTGCGTCATAGTAAGACAGGCTTCAGATAATGTCTCAACGACTGTGTAATTGTTATATATTTCAAGTACTTGCGCCACTAATATCATCGCTCGATTCTTGTCTTCATTGTAATGATATGTTCTCTTTTTACTTTATTTGATATAACCAATGTTAAATTGCAGTCTAAAAACTACGATTATAGAGTATTGGTAATTCACATTATTATCATCGAGATACAGGAATGTATTCTAATGGGTTTATGTTCTTCCGTCGGCAAGTTTCCTCTAAGCGTACTTTTTGTTATAATAGAATTTCTATCAAGTAATCACGCAATTAACAAACTCGCACAAGATTTTCGACGACAATTATAATGCAGGTTAGCTAACGTTTTACGTGAATAAGTCAAACCAAGCCACTGTTTTTCCACCGGGATTCTTTTCATATCAAACGCTTTTACTGCAAGATGGTACATCTTTCGAGAACGAATCAACGTGTATTAAACTTTCAATGCGTAAACATTGTCCTCGTAGACAGTGAAATTTTTTCCTTGTCAAAATCGCCAAAGCTATTAGAATTATGTATTATTGTACGTACTTCATATAATAAAGCTCGACATATCCAATACGTTGTTGATAATTATGCGCACTTTTTTATTGGCACGAGCCCAGGAAATATTGTCAGATTCTACAATTTACATGGTATCATGCCGGTGTGCTTTATTACCAAGCTGTGCGTACGCGATAAGATCTGGAGTAGGAACAATCACTACTCTGATGGAAAAGTTATCGACGATTATTTTTCTGTATAATGCGTTTGATGAGCGAAACACGCAGCATGGCTTATTTCTAGCTAACCACAGACTACAAGAGTAAATAATACATAGAATATGCTGGAGAGACTGCCAAAACAGTATATTTGTGTTTCAATTTCGAATATGGTCCGATATGGTCCATGTCAAAATTCCTGTAGTAATTGTCGCAATTGTCATAGAAATAACAAGGCTATCGATTACCGATATCAGCAGTACTTGACGACTTGCGGCAACCTTTCGTTATTTCTGCAACCATGTCATTACCTATGCATTATTTTCTGGCACCCTGCAAACTTTAACTCTAAAACCGTTATTATATACTTTCGTTTGATTGTTACAGCATATCAATGTAAAACGCGTGTGCCAAATGAAGACCTCGAAAACTCAATGTAAAACGTTTTAAATGATTCATTACTACATGACCAGCGTAATTCAAACGATCAGTTGTTCTTGTAAACGTAACCAATGTAGGGAAACTCACATTTTGTTATTCCCAACAAAGTTTATCATAACGTAAAACCAATTTATTTGAATTCAAGTATTCTTTCCTGGTGCTTTGATGGTTCAAAAAACCATAATTCATAACCATTAAGTTATGCTTATGGGTATTTGACTCTTTGGTAAATGAAGGACTCTGTTGGGACAAGTGTTGCTATTTGTGGCGCCCCGCAATTTAAGTATTTCTTATTTCTGTGGCGTTAAACTTTTAACCTTAAAGGGACTAGATTCGTATTGGGCTGGATACCGAGTCTCCATCTTATCTATTAGATCGGTGCGTCCATTAATGTAAAGAATTAAGTGAATTTCGCGGGTCCTTTTGGCATGTGGAGTAATTTGTCGGACGTAAGCTTTTCCATAAGCAGATGGTTCTTGATGACGCAGCTACTTCATACTTTCCTTTTCCGTGTCACTTTCAGTTGGTGCAACATATTAAGCAGAGGCTAAAACCAATCTGCATTAGCTTTTATGGAATCCGCACTTGAGTGGTTTTGTCCCTGAAACCATGACAGTTACGACTACGGTCGAATATGATGCAAAAAAAAAGCGTCCGTGGTTTTATTAGTCTAACTATAAATATTTAAATTTAACCAATCATTAGCGATATTCTATCAGAACAATCACCACATGTTTGTATTCACATGCATTGCAACAGAGTTTGACTGGTCCATATTAAAAAAAAAAGACTTGTTTAACTTATTAATAAATCAATCAATAATAATAAAGTACCGACAATGAAAACTTGATAATACACACAATGGCAAGCTATTTCTTCAAAACAGCGCTGTGCTGCCCCAATTCCCCATTGAATGCCGTCCCAATAATTGTGTAATGCAGACAATAAATAGATGATTGTAAAAAAAAAGACTGAATAGACTACTTTCAAGTTTTCGGCATCGAGGTGAGTATGAACCCGTTAATATTTGAATTGAGGAAAAAGCCGACTGCATTTGTACAAAGAAATAGATGGATGGAAATTACAACCATTATCAGATCGTTGATCGAAATCACAGATAATAGCGAGAGCATCTATGAGCGATATAATAACAACAATAATAACGAACACAGTTATTGATTAGATATAATAATGGACTTGGAAATGTCAATAACGTCCCAAAACAAACAAACAAAAAAAGCCTCCCTTCTCATTTAAATCGGTTTATCGACTAACAACACACTTTATCTAGTTCTCTTCCAGTCATGGCACCACCACACACTGAAACGACGACGACTACCACGGATACTACGCCGAGTACTCTTCATCATCGCTCTTCCGCCTCTCCCAAAGTTCAGTACGAACGCAACTATATTCCCCCAACGTTCACCATAAAACAAATCCGTTCAGCTATTCCATCCCATTGCTTCCAGCGTTCGGCCCTACGATCATTTTCTTATGTCATAAAAGATCTCACTGCGATTGCCATCCTCTTTTATTTGGCCACACACATCGATACGCATCTACCGGTTTACCTCAGATATATTGCGTGGCCCTTGTATTGGTTTTGGCAAGGAGCATTCGCTACGGGTATTTGGGTCATCGCTCACGAGTGTGGCCATCAATCATTCAGTGATTCAAAGACTCTTTGTAACGTTGTTGGACTCGTATTGCATTCCGCCCTCCTGGTACCATACTATGCATGGAGATTGACGCATTCGAGGCATCATAAGCATAACGGAGACATATATAAAGATGAAGTATTCGTACCAAAAACTAGAAGCCAATTGGGACTACCAAAGAAAGGTAGCGAGGAGGACATGGAAAGAATAAGGAAAAGCAAGGAGGGAGGGTTTTTTGAAGATGTACCGATATTCCAATTGGCAAGTTTGATAGGACAGCAGTTAATCGGATGGCCCATGTACTTGATAGTGAATGCTTCAGGAAGAGAATATCCGGGATGGCCCAATCATTTTATTCCCACCTCGGCCATATTCGAACCCAAGCACTATACATCTGTAGTGATTTCGGATATCGGTCTCGCAGTGACGTTGTCCGTGTTAGGATATTTTACATATGCATATTCGTTCATGACTGTCGTCAAATATTACGTGGTACCTTATCTGGTGGTCAACCATTGGTTGGTGATGATTACGTATCTTCAACATACGGATCCCAAATTACCCCATTACAGAGGAGAACTCTGGGACTTTATTAAAGGGGCTACATGCACAAGTGAGTAATTTGCAATGGTAGTGAATGCGTGAGGAGTTGTGCGGGATGAATTGGAAAGGATAAGAGAGTATTTGGTCCCGATATAGAGTTGGGGACTTGCAGAGGTGTAGAACAACAAGTTGGGGTTTTGAGAATGCAGGTTACAAACACTTGGGAACGGAATTGCCTGGATACTTGCTGGCAGCAAGACTTGCTTGGAACACTCTCTGATCGCTAACCCATTGTTTTCCCTTTCTATCCTCCTTTCTCCCTAAAATTTCAAATAGTTGATCGTCATTTTGGGATCCTGGATAGCATATTCCACCGAATCACATCGACACATGTCGCCCATCATTTCTTTTCGACGATGCCCCATTACCATGCCGAAGAAGCCACCAAACATCTTGCTCAAGTCCTCGGTTCGTATTACCTCTTTGATGATACACCCATATTTATGGCTCTGTGGAAGAGTTTCCGCGAGTGTCGGTTCATCGAAGATGAAGGGGAAATTTTATTTTTTAACAAATAAGGGGAAAAGTAAAGATTAAGAAAGATAAGAGAATGGAAAAGGGGGAAGGGGATTTTTAATGGATAAACAATTAGTGAATGAGAAGATATATATCAAATGATGTCAGAGGGGAGTTTGACCATAAGACACAGACGCAGCCGAGTGAAGAACCAATAAATCTAATTGTTTTTAGCGCAAGAATCATGAATGTTTTACCGAAAAAGGCAGGTACACTCCCGGCTTAATTCGGGTTGTCAGCGCCAAATGAGCATTCCCATTTTCAAAACGTTCACCCCCCTTTCTTTTATGATATCATCCGACATACCGAACGTCTGGTCAGCTACGTGAGCTGACCATCACGAGTTCAATTCCACAGCATAAGCCACACGATACACAAACATGATCTTTGAGATAATAAGAATTGTTATTAATAACCCAATATAAAAAAATTAAAGCAAACAATTTACCAATCGGCCATGTATAAATTTATATTATACTAATTATTGCATTTAAGGCAAGGATTGCCAATTAATGTCATCCCGCTGCTTACCGCTTATCAAAGATAACGGTTTATATAAATACCACTCCCCTCAACTGTTCAAAATTAGGAGCAAGGAGTAACAAACACAACCCAATAAAGCGTTTGTGTTGAAAAATCCAGTTTGAATCTTTCTCGCACAGAGCTTGAAACATAGAAAACTTATAATAGCTGTTATTTGTATTGTTGACAGACCTTCCCCATCTTGTCTAAACACTTTGTAAAATATTAATTTGCTTTTAATATCATATTTATCTATCCCTCTTAGTTATATGTTTGATTTATTTCTCGATTCATTAATAATAATAATAGTAAAGCTGTCTCGAAGAAACTTTGCAAAAATATCTTGACAAGCGTATACTATCTATATTGTCTTGTATTATCATTTCTATAGACTTTTCCTTTATTACCACCTACTTTTGCTTTGGAAAACCCGCCTCTTTTCTATCTTATTTACGGAACACATTTTTCTTCAATCCTTGTGTAAGGCTCGTTTGATTTCACAATGATTACTTTTACACCAGATTTCTGGGCACCCGGCTTAGACGTCAACGTCCGGCGGATTCCACCAGATGAAATATTGATCAGTTCGAATCTAAACGCGAACAGCTATAGCGAATCAAAGTCAAGACAACGTCCCACCTCGATGCCACCCAGTGTATCCCCCCCATCAAACACGAGAACCAAAGAAATCTCTACCAGGACTAATACATATGTACCAATCTCGAATGCTTCATCAACAAGTTCTGCATCATCAACAAGCTCTGCATCGCCCCCAAAGAGAAAGTCTTCTATGTTGTACAGCGTACAAAAGCTATTTCATGCGGATACTAACAGCAACAGCAAGTTACATCTCAATCCGGTACGTTCAGCCACAACGGAAGAGAAAAAAGTATTTCTCTCTGCTAAAACTCCGGGAAATAAATCCATCCTTCGGGAAGTGCTCTCACTCAGACTGAACGAATTACAAAAATCGAAAAATGACCAAGCTGTCAGTCATGTCGATAACGAATGCTTATTAGCTCAAAGATATGGCACGTGCGAGAAGGGATGTATCGGACAAGGTGCTACTGCAGTCGTAAGGCTTGCGCACAAGTTGGACGGAACGGATTGTGAACAAATCTATGCTGTAAAGGTAAAATTTCCTACCGAAAACGTTGCGGCTTTTATTTTTTGTGTTGAATCGGCAACCAAATATCGCCAGTCAATCGTTTATTGACGTGTGCAAACGTTTTCTTGGTTTCTTCCAATACTATTAGGAATTTCGAAAAAAGAGAAAGAATGAGACAGAGAAAGATTACATTAAAAAGCTCGCGAGCGAATTTTGTATCAGCTCTTCGCTTCATCACGTGAATATTGTCAAAACTGTAGACTTGGTAAAGGATGAGAACCAGAACTGGTGCGAGGTCATGGAATATTGTTCTGGTGGTGATTTATTTTTGGCCATAAAATCGAACCACATGAGCCCAGTCGAGATCGACTGTTGCTTTAAACAATTGATCAATGGTGTTGGATATTTGCACTCGATGGGTGTTGCTCATAGGTAAGCAAGTTCAACCTGATTGGTCGTCTCTATGTATCTGCTTATATGTTTATCGTACAAGTGTTGTATATGTATATGGTTATGGATTGTTTTTACTCAAATCGCATCGTCTTTTCGTTTCACTTCTACAGGGACATCAAGCCCGAAAATCTGTTACTTGACGGCAAAGGCCACTTAAAAATCACAGATTTTGGTGTATCAGATGTTTTCCGCATGCATTGGGAAAGCAATCCGCACCTTTCTACTGGTTTGTGCGGATCAGAGCCATACATTGCTCCTGAGCTGTTTCTGGTGGGCAAGGAATATGACGCGCGTCTTGTCGATGTCTGGGCATGCGGCATCGTATATTACTGTATGGTCTACCAGGGCATTCCCTTCCGTATGGCTGCTTCAACTGATCCTAATTATATCACATATTTGGAAGAAAGAGCGCTGCATGAATATGAGCCATTTGAGAGGTTACCGAAAGGATGTAGAAACTTGATGTATCGTATCTTGGAACCAGATCCTTGCATGAGATATGATATTGATAGTATTAAGGCTGATCCCTGGTTCCAGAGTACAGAGATGTGTTCAGACGGATCAGTCTTAACACAAGAACATCATCATATCCCCCCTGAATGTTTGAACAAACGGAAATCAACAGAGAGAGCCAAATTCTAAAGAAAAAGTATATATTCTTTTGTATTATAGCATGGCCATGAAATAGATTAACATTTATTCATTCCGATAGGCTATGTAATGAATCTTTCTAATAATACCTCTTTGAAAACATGTAAATATGAGCGTTTTCTTGCGAGATACAAATAAAATGTAATCGATTTAAAGAACATACACGAATTTACACATATTATGAAATAGATATTTATGATTCTGTTGTGAGTTTAACATGATCATCATCAATGGTAGCATACAAAAGTCCTTCCGAGATAAGCCATTGAATACCATTACTACAAAGAAAACGTGTCCAACATGTTAATACTCAACAAATAAATAATCATTAGTCTAAGAGCATCATACTTACTCGATGACATTTGCATCATAAGAGTTCTTTAGCTTTACAATAATTTCTTTCTTATTAACACCAACACCATCATCCATGACATTCCTTGATTGAATCTGCTTTACTATATCGTGAATCTCGCGATGCAACGGTTGCTTAAACAGATCGTTGTTTCGTCTATCCGATACTTCGTCTCTGTTGTAACTGTATCCGCCCATTGATGAATAACTAAACTTTGATGACAATGATTGGGATTGCGATTGGAAGGGCGAATCTGTTTGCGTCTGCGATTGCGATTGTGACTGTGACCGTAACCGTAACCGTCAAGAAATAACGGAACTGTAAATAATAATAATAAGAAAAACGGAAACGTAAATAGCAAAACCGTCACTCACAAGATGTCCATGTTTTGCATGTAAATGTGCTTCAATGACTTCAAGTGTGTGTTGTGTTATTTCGTTGAAATCTGTCACAGGCCTAACGCAGAATGCAATGACATGGCGTTTTTCTCTAAAATTTTTCATCTGACCGAAAACTCGGGCATACGTCTCTTTACTGGGAAAGAAGTATTAGGCAGAATGTCGAATACTAGTCTTGACAAGCACATCACGTTCAAATCAGTTTGATAAGTACCTTAAATTAGGCTTGGATACCTCTTCTGGTTTATCGTTTTGAAGCCAATACCGAACATCAATACAACCGGTTCCGTCATCCATTATGTAGTTTGTATTAGTTGTAAGTTCGTTGGTAGATCTAATCCATGCGATAAATGTCACCTATGTGATAGATTAAATTGGTCAGCGAGCCCTTCTTATAAGCAACATTAATATTAACAGCAAAAATTTGTTTCCGTAACGAACCACTGTAACTTCTTGACCATCAATCTTAATTGTCGAGTCAATTGCATCATATGCTACAGACAATAGCTGAGCTATTGTGACTGGTCTCACCGACTGCCTAACGTATTGTTTAGAAGAGCCCTGATAACAACAAAGGCGCGTGTTACTTTATCATTGAAGCTTTTTTTTTGGACAAAGACTGATCTCAACGACAACCTGTGGAGTGGAACCGGCGCTTCCGGTCGGTGAGTAATTGTTAATAGGCGACTCGGACATCCAGCCGCCACCGATACTATGATCCCCCGGGCTCGAACCAAATGATTGTCTGTATGAACCATGACCGTATCCTTTGCAAACGTTACGCGTCGGTTATCATGAATAGTATCAAATGAAAGGAAAAAACCCACAGTGAAGAGAGACATACCTGAAGACATGTTTTAAATTTTAAAAAAAACGCGTAACTCGAGAATGTAATGAAAGAATGTAACAATGAGTACACGACATTTGGGAAATTAAATTCCCCCTTCCTCGATTGGCTATGGGAGAAGAATTTTGATTTGACGGCAGAAATGTGGCGATCAACCATTCCCTTGCGATAAACCACGTGGGGATTTATTTTGCCATGTATGACATAACATGATTGCAATGTAAATCTTGTGATCTCTGCTGCAAATCGTATGATTTAAACATATGATCGAAAAGTCGGAAGGATACACTCCAAACATTCCTTTTCATGTGTAGACTTTTTCCGAATTTGATAGGAATATAGGGAAGGGAGCATTCGCGTGATGGCCGTTTTTGGTGACCCGGACCTGGGGTCCCCATCTTGATAACTTTACTTTCCGATCTGATCCGTGATTACTAATCTCAAGGGATACTCTTGAACGTTCTCGATAATTTGATTCTTTTTAACTTGTATAAATGGTTTTTGCCCATCCTTATGGCCTTTCCCACGAGCGCGAACAACTTTTGTCTATGTTTGCTCCATAATTGTTCGGCGAGAACACGACATTCTTCGTTACAGCGTATTTTGCTTTAAATGGTGTTATATATATATATATGTGTATATATAATGCTATGGTATACTTTTCTATTAGTCAAGGACATAAGTACGAGGAGAAACATCTTCGAGATTTACATAAGTCATATATAAAAGTACTACGAAAATAGCTGATGTATACGTGCGTGGGCGAAGTTCGGGCGTAAAACTTGACACACTAGTAAGAATAACAATTTGTGAAAACTTTCGGTAAACAGAAACATGATATCTACAGCCGCCGGATGAGTTAATATGCAAATAGAGCCATTGTAGACTCTCAGTTTACGGCATGCGATTATCTTTCGCTTACTGAATCCTGGGAGAATTGCTATATGACTAAGGCGGCATTCGCCAAATACTTGTTGGGGATAACGTTTTTGAACTTGTTTTGAAGAATCACATATTCGAGCGCTTATGCTTGAGATAAAGTTAAATATACAATGCTGCATAATGACTCCTCGCAAAATCGAACGACTTGTGCAAATAAGATAAATAATCTTAATATGCTATATTTATTATTAGGCCGAACTTTGTCATTGCATTACAGTGTTGATAACAGATTATAACTGTAGTATAGGTACGGATTTGTTACTATTATAAACAAGTCTCTGTTTAATACAAAAGTTTTTCCCTTGTTCTGTAGAGACACTATCGCTTAAATATTAATAACTCATCGTCAAGTTACACTTACTATTGTACAAACAAAAAAAGCATGAATGTATTACCCAAAGTCGTGTAACTGTAAACAGTAACTTTACCAGGGTTGCTACTGCATATTTGAAGCAGAAAATAAAATATAAATCGAAAAAATCACTATTATTCAACATCTCTTCTTGAAACATGTCCTGACGCATCCAGAAAACTTTCAGGATACAGCCACGTAATATTTAGAGAAGTTGGCTATGATGAGACGTATTGTAAGTCGCGATCAGTTTTACGAATTGCTTTGTTTACAATTAGTCCTTGTACATCAAAGAATTAATTTGGAGGGCCTGTGAGAAGTTACATTATTTGCACAGCACATTGGGATGAAACTGCATTAAACGTGGGTAGATAAACTGCAATCAATTTCCGTTGGTTCATTGCTGCGGAAAGTGTCTTTGTGCAATGATTCTTCTTTAATCTTGCCAGGGATAATTTCCGTATGTAATTCACAATATGTTTGTTGCGCCGAGAACATTGAACTGCGGGTTTTCGAGTCCCGCAGAATAATAAACTTACGAACTTACCTTACACATGACTCTGTGCCAAGAGGATTACTCGATTCCTTGGAGTTTGTTATTTAACGTAATGTAATGACGCAATTCGTTATACCGAATCTAAATACGCCTGCATCTTGGCATATTGACATTCTTACTAAAATCTTTAGATCAAACGTAATCCGTCATATTAATACTAATACCAAGCGACCAAAATATCTATTTTAGCCAATGTATCGAAGCTGCGCCGCCTTGGCGCACTTGGCCGCAGAAATTTTCATTGCTAAGCCATGATCGGAGTAGTGTCCCCGAATTGACTCTGATATCCAAAGAAAGAGGAATAAGGACGTTTAGATTTGAAAGTGTTTGTTTCAAAGAAATGTTTTAATAAAAATAATCATTGAGTATAACAATAGCAATAACAAACGTTTGTATGAGGTATATATTAATTTTTAGATTATAGATCCTAAAGAAAATATGTCATTTTTACAAATAATAAAGGAAGAAGTCATTAATATGATCTTTTATTTAATGTTATAAATATACTGATTGGCGGGTTTAAGCAATGTCGTGTTATGTGCAGAATACAACAAACAACTTAAATGAGCAGACACTCGCGTCTAGTTAAGCATTCGCAGTGTAAACCACATTAATCAATTCAAGTGTTTTCTCCGACTAATACGTACACTCTGGTGATTAGTCATGCGAACAGCGACTTGCAATTTGACGTTAATTTTGTAAATGCACGTCCCCGTAAATCCTTATTGTTAGTCACATTAGTATAGTACGTTTACTTTCTCGGATAATATTATTACCGAACTTCCCATTCTCGATAAATTTGGGTGATCAAAGTCGGTTGAAGTAGGCAATTTCAAGACCTGGGCATTTATTAAGATTACAAACTTGTCAATCTCTAGGCTTGCGTATTCTATATAATACCCTTATTGACGGTTTTCCTACTACTTCTCAGTCTTTCATTCACTTGCCAAGAACCCTGTCTCCATAAAACTTGTTATTTACAAACAAAACAACGTCAACACGTTTCACAATGGCAGAAGAGAGAACTCAGAATTTGGGCGTATTAAGATCAATGTTCCCAACCGTAGATCCAGAAGTATGCGAAGCCGTCTTTGATACGAATGGGGGCAAGCTCGAGGAGAGTATCAATGCCTTGCTGTCCATGGTTGACCCAGACTACCAAGCCGAAGAGGCTGTTCCCGTCCAAACGATCACTGGTCATGTTACGTCTACTTCGCGAGAGCAAATTCAACGTGACGAAGAGTTGGCAAGAACTCTGGCTATGGAAGCTGACAGAGAAGCTAGATATTATGAACAATCTGTTCGCGCTCAGCGGCAACAGACTAATCAAGAAAAAGAACAGCAATCAAATCAGGGCGACTTTTTCGCCGATGAGCTACCAGTAATTAAAGAGAAGATTGCTACTGCCGCTCATACGGCCGCCGACACGACAAAAAAGAAGGTGAAGGAATGGTATGAAAAATTCAAATCTTCAGTACGCGATGATGACAGTTCACATATGACTGGTGCTCAATACACAAATCTTCCTGCTGACGAGGCTGATCACGCCCTCTTGACCGACGATTATCCGCCTCAATCTCAGATGCGCACACAAGATGCATATTCTAATAAATATAATAAATCAGGTGGATACACCAGCCAATATAACAGAGCTGGTGTATATACATCTTCTTATAATCCGAGTTCAGATGTAGACCGTGATGCGATTACAACTGTTTATAATCCTCCGCAGCATTCAAGCGAGTCTCCAACAAGACCCAGCGAGTCTAATAATGAACCCATACGAATTATAAGAGACAAATCGAGCTCGTCTCTGGCAGCCACGGTTGACGATGACGATGATGATAATGATTTGACCAAACCTTTACCTTATACAGTATCTGGGAATATAGGTGAGTGGCATGAAATGGCGATTAAATAATATAGGGCAAGATGAGCGAAAACATCTGTTGACTATGTTTGCCCGCCGCGACTAATGTTTTTTTTTTTATATTTTCATAGGGAATACCAAACCGGCCGTGCCGCCGAGACCGAATGATTCGTCTCAGGAATAGATGGGCTACGAGTAATATAGTCATTATTTCTAGTTGTCGTATTAGAGTAAAAGAATCAATCTACTAGTACTCAAAAATATGGATATATTTTGTTTTAATGATATGTCATCCACGACGGTATAACCGGTGCCGCATATATGTTTAAATACAATGTTTTAACTTTATAATTTTCTGTATATTTATCGTTGCCAATCAAGCATTATCATTAAATTTTGTTTTTTGTGTGCTCACAAAAGCAACGACCAAGTATAATTAATAATCACATGATCAAGCGCGAGATAATACAATAACATCAATACAAATTTAGAGGAATCATTGTTTTATTAGCAAAACCTCAGTCATTTAATAGGGAGTTTTCTCTAATTCAAAGCATATACTACGCTAAACGATCTGGTGTGGCTTTTATAAGAGATAACCTTTTAATATACTTTCTTTTCGATCCAAACATGCGTGTTCCGAAATAGAGAATTATTATTTGCTATTCACAATATAGACTTAGCTATTATTCCCTTGCGTAGGGCCGTTTAGACATCATATTTAAGCGCTCGGCTAACTTCTACTCTCCGTGACATATTGCCGGCACATTATTCTTCCTGTAATGTTATGCTAAATCGAAAAATAGTCAAAGTTCAAGCACAAAATTTTATTGTATACAAGCAATCAAGTGTAAAAACTTGTCATATGCCCCGGGTACTCTTCATCCATCGAGCCAGTCCGTGAACGTTTGCTAAAAAGATCAAGAAATTAAAATGTCAATTGTCTTTTAAATTCCCCTCTTCTACTACGTCCTACTACAAACCTTTCTCTATGGCCTTCATCTAACTCGACTGCCTCAAATTCATCGGAATCTTCAGACCTGACTCCGTTCACTTCTACTGCCATAAATTCATCCTCTTCTGCTCCATCCATAAACTCATCCTCATCATTTTCATTTATAAACTGATCTGCTTGATCAACAGTAACAGAGTCGAATTCATCGTCGTCGGCTGGAGTTGAGGCAGCTTGTTGCTGGTAATTGGCGTAATAGCTTGCATAATCTATACCAAACAATAAAGAGAAAAATGTAAGAACAGGTAAATACCAACGCAAAAGTTGGTTGATCGATATTTACAGTCTTTTCGCTCCTTGTCTCTCTCCGTCGATTGTTCCACCTTTATTTCGTGCTGATCTTCCTTTTGTTTGTTCGATATCGTTGGCTGTAATGAGTCCGCTACCATCGTTTCACCAGATATGGTACTGCGAGTGTGCCAGGCTGGAAGGGCATTTTGTTGACTTGCAAAATGACGGGTCCGAAGAACAACACAATAAGCATATAATAGCCATAGTAATGATAAACAACAGAATCAAAGAAAAAACTCACCGCTTCTTTTCAATCTCAGCTTCTTTCGCCCTCTTGGTAGCTTCGTTGTCATCCTGAAATACGACGACAATACCTCCAGTGTGATTGCCGCTTTCTTGAGCGTACGATATTTCTTTGTCCTCTGTAAACGGATACGGCAAATTTGTTAGCATTTGGGAACGAGTTTGCTACTCTAAATGCAGATTCCTAGTATACTCACGTGACGTTTGCAGCGATCCTTTACCCGAGCTACTGCCGGCAATCTTATCTATTGTAGTGCTTTTTGGTTTTTTTGTCATGAGAATGCAGATAAAAATATAAAGTAATAGAAAGTGGTTGTCTTTCTTCACAAAACGCGTAGCCATACAACACATACGCTGGTATACGCAATTTATCTATATCTTTGAGTAGATCAATTATAGGTTGAGATTGTTCCATAAACCTTTTAAAATACATGTTAACAAATTAGTTCTAAGTCGCATTCATCCGCTGAAATAAATCCCTAGTCATAACCAATAACATACCTTCCATGCAACTGCTCCGATCCCTTTACATTCTCAGCATTGTCATTGTGCTCCAGCTCCGTTGAACACACCTCGCATTTAAACACACCCCCTTCGTGGTCTAGCAGAAATCCAACATCCAACGGAGAATACGTTTTGTTGCATTTGGGACAAATATAACCCTTGTTTTCTAATTCCTAAATGGTGAATTCACAAATATTGGTCAAAACGAAGCAAACGATGCAATTGTGTTTGACTAGATTAACGAAAAGACCGGCATACATTACGCATCCTGTCTCCAACCATCACTCGAATTTTGTATATTTTCCATTTCACTACGTTTACAAACTGTTGCCAGTCTATGTAGTAATAAGTTTTCGGAACTGGTCGTTGATCCGCCTTTTTGGGTTCCATACGCTGAAATCTAACGTAAGGGTCGGGCATCAAGTCACTGAATCATCTTCCAAGGAGTCACTCATTATTCTATAAGAACATACGTTTTCAACAGCCGGTTCTCCTTAAGAGTTCCGCATATCTTGTGAATTTCTTTCACCGTCAACCCTATTGTTTTCGATAATTCTTCATCGCTAATACTAGAGATGAAACAGCACTTGTCAGCAAGTTGTCTCGCGTTAGATCAAGATTGATCGAGTTTTGTTTTGTTCCATCCTTTAAAACTCACGCTTCATGTTTAGTCAGCTCATCCATGACTACAATGAATGGGGTCTGAAAGAATGCGCGAGTGACACGCTTCACAAGACGAACAAGCGGGCGCATATCTACAGGCTCCTCCATTGTGTCGTGGTGAGGTATGGTAGCTGTTCAATGCAACAACCCAACTGTTGAAGCATAGCGTTACGAGTTATGTTGACTTATGATGACGTATTGTTTACAAATGCATACTAGTTGTATGTAGTCATGTGATTAACCTACAAATAAGATATTAAAATTTTCAAAAAAAAAAAGAAAAGAAAAAAGAAAGCCAAAAAACCAATTCCACAATGTCTTTGTGCCAAAGGAAATTCATTGGATATTCGACATCGTATGTGAATCCTCATGGATACGACTCTTGTATTTCAATTGAATCAATTCGTTAACAAATTATATGGATAGGGGAATAAATACAAGATTAAATGGGATTTGGAAAAGGTGAACAGATGGATAACCATTTCGTTTCGACGTGGTTCGTACGCGGCATCCGATCGATTAAATTATTCTTGTTCTCACCAATAAATAGTAAACCATATTCTTTGGCATGGGTAAATGCTATGAAATTTGAGCGAATAAACCCTATGGTAAAATATATGCTCTGGCTGCATCAATGTTTAAAGCACTACCTGCTCAAATTTTCTGATCGCTTCTTACCTACCAAGCAAGATCCGCACTCGCTTGTTGAGTAGTAATACAACTCAGGCCGTTGAGGAGGATTTGCGTGTCGGGAATGCAAAGGAACGAGTATTGGAAAGATATAAACAGATCGGAGCAAAATCAGGTCGACAGTATCCTGAATTTATCAAGCGAATCGCACCTCCTCTTTCCAAGCTGCTTGGAATAACTGTGCGCGCTGAGGGAATATCAACGATCCAAAAAGTATATCCTGTATGCGCACTGCAAACGGAATATCATAGAGATTACTATATAGACGGTAAATCATGTTTGCATTATGTGATTATCAGCTTGATCCTATTATTAATCACGTCCTATTATGAACGATTTAGCATGTAGATTACCCGATAATTATCAGACATGGTTCTCAGTCACAGCATTACATCTATGGATGGTTATAGTAAGGTTCAGACCTGAGATTCATGGAGAAACATACAACGAGATTTTGGTTAATACGTTTTTCGAAGATGTTGAGTGGAGAATGTGTAATCTTCACGGTGTAAGAATATAAGCGCATATGTACATTTGCACACACGTAATATGGAATTATTAAGAATTTACTCTGGAATCCCCCAACTAATTTGTGTTTTTCCCAAGGTTAAACGCGGTTCAATAGCCACCCGGTATATCAAAGATTTCCTTTCCCAATTCAGAGGAGCCGTTATGGCATACGATGAAGGGTTATGTAAAAATGATGCCGTACTGGCTGCTGCGCTGTGGAGGTAAACGAAATCTCGTTTGCAGATTAACGAATGAACGAGAGGATTTGCGCGCGTTTACTCATCGGCAATGTTATCCTGATTTGTTATAGGAATGTCTTTTCTACATTTACCTCTGTCCACATCATGGCATCGCTGGTAAAATATACTAGACAAGAGCTCCAGAGATTGGATTCATTATCATGGGAAGAGATTCGCCAGGGAAAAGTCCAGTTCTCAAATCCAACTCTGGAACTGTAAATAAATTACTCAAGATCACAAAATCCTATTCTGTGTATGTCCATTACGAATTCCAGTTACTGTCAAACGCGACAGCCGAAAATTAGTAATGATGTCAACTTGACGAATTTTATTATTATAAGTACTTTTTAAACTGGTCAATTCGTAGCAGCCCATTCTGTATCATGCCGTTCTTTGTTCACCTGCTAAACTTTGTTGCGATGGTGGACTGCTACCCATCTGACCGAAATCTGACGGTTGCACTGGTGGCGGTGGAAGGCCCTTTTTGAATAATACAAGAAGATTACATAGTTAATCTTCACTGTCGGTGTAAAAGTAGAATCATTAAATCAGCATATATTTACCTGCGTAATTAGCTCCCATACGGTCATTTTACTGTCCTTTAGCTGCTTCATGTGCATCTGCTCGAACTGTTTTTGTTCTTCTTGTAGCATCTTTTGGAACTGTGGAGCTTGCTCTTTTAGATTCTTATAATGAGAATTGAACTCATCACGCATGTATTTCCGCCGGAGCTCAATTGCTTGATAAATTGGTGTGACTTCATGTTGCTATGTGCACAAATATATATTGTAATTGATGTATATACGCATATAGCTAAAGATTCAGCGTTAAAACATACCACATGACCACCACCGAGCGTGAACGCCCAACTTGCCAATCCTTTCTTTGGTTGTTTAGCTTTCTCCCACTCTAAGCGACTCTGTTCCTTCCATTGCTTTTCCCACTCTGAATATGCCTGTGGAAGATTCTTTTTATTCTGAAACCTGTTTATTACCGGACGCACGTCCTGTGAATCAAATAAGACGAAAACTGTCCGCAGGCAGCAGAATCGTTAAAACTAAATGTATCGCATGTCATGCATTGCAGTATTGTAAATACTTACATTCCAGAAACGGAATAATGTCTATTAAAAATGTATCTTTGGGGTCACCATTCCACGGTGGAACATAAATCGCGTTCTCTGGCTGGAGCGAGTAGGCATCGGGGTCTGAGTCCATGATAATTACTTTTGACAGGTCACGGTTTAGCTTGGATAAATCCTAAAAAAAAATGCCGTTCATCTTCAGATCAATAACGTAACTTAGGATAAGTCAACTTCTCACATCATATGCATTCTCATATATGTAGTCAATTGTTACCTTAACATGCTTGCCATCGACATATCTTGTCTGATCCCTAGTTAGTTTAAATGGAGCCATTCCGAGCGGATCAAGCTTCAATAATAATGGCTCCGCCGTCTAACAAGACGCAGATAATTACTGACGAGGATTAAGAGGTTTGTTGTTATTGAGAAGAAACAGTGCTATACTCACGTAAGTGGGCTGTGCAGTCCAGATGACAAGTTCATATAGGTTACCCATGTATGCGAGAAAATAATCCAATCCTGGTCTTTTTGCAAATCGCCAACCGTGTTGTCTCTGAAGATAAACAAGTTCACAGATAAACAGTATTTACACGTCAATAACAGCCATTTACTTGCACGACCAAACGATACGCGGATTTAATGAGTGTTGAACGCGTCTGATACTCACATCCCACGTCGAATGTATGAGAGTTTCTTCGAGGTTAATTACTAAAGTGAGTGGTGGGAAGTTTGGTAATGTGTCCTTGTCTTGCAATAGCTTGTCCGATGGAGGCTCCGTAAAGAACTTTAATAAACGGTAGATCATTAGCATGTCGGATAATACTTATTCTTGCAAACAAAGCATTCGCACATACCTGAAGAAAATCTTCAAATCGTGCTTGCAATCTCTTATACCAAGCAGTGAAAGAATCTAGATCTTTGTACTAATTATAAATCAGCCTTCGATTCGCATAATCTTTTTCATTTTTCATTTTTCACTTCAATTACCTTATTCTCCCTGTCCGAGTCGAACGGTCTTCCTAAAATTACCCGTCATTAGTGACTGTCGTTCATACTCTGTACGTTTACCTTTAAATAAACTTGTCGTATACCTGAATATAATATCAACGCAATAGTAGAACCCATCATAGTCACACCAATAGCCTCCAAAAACCTTTTCATCTTAGGACTTATTGTATCGACGTTGGAGCTGGGCTTCCGCGGGCGACTGCGTAATTTTGGAGGAGTAGCCGCTGTTAGGTAACTTTTATAGTGTGTTCGCGAGAGACATATTCGCGACGCTGATGTGAATTGTATCGAAGGTGCATATATAGGATGGATATTTCGCGTTCTTGGTGGACTAACATGAGTGAGTGTGTGTGCAGGACGAGTCCGAATAGGTGTGAAGTATAAGGCTTTATATAAGCTCGGTTTTGGAATCGTGAAATTCAGACGGTGAAATATTCGAACAGACATTTTTAAAAGTTTTTTTAACGACCCATCACATCTATATGTCGATCTCCTTCCAAATTTGAAAAAAGAAATAATACTAAAATGAAACTTTATTGTATTTCGTTAGTAAAAAAATAAGCTATTAAATCTTAAAGGAAATATCAACTAGCTCGAATCACTTTTGCTCTAAACTTTAACTGTAGTCAAATAATAAAAATCGACATCAATAGTAACTAGAGCGAGGATATGTGTTCCTATTCCATAAATAATAGGATCTTCTCTCCCATGGGCAATGTCGTCTAACAAAAAATCCTCGCCGGCGTAATTTCGCAAACAAGATTGCTAGAACCAACACCCACGACGCAAGGAATAATATCGACACTACGGCAAAGAAGAATTTGATTATGGCAAAAAATAAGAAGATGAATAGAGCTATTTTAAGAGCCTTTTTCATGAAACATGCCATCGTTACTATTTTTTGAAACTCTGCAGATAAACATGAAGCGGATCTTTGTGAGCATAACGCCTGCCCATTACAATTGTGTTGCCTATTTATATCACACGAACAAGCTGCACGCGTATGTCGATCATTAGCATTCCCAAGCGACGGCAGCGGCAACTCATTAGCAGCAAATGACCTGAACCAGCCACCCACATTCTCAACACCGTTGCTAGCGGATTCAAAGATTTGATCTACTATTAAATTGGCCGTTTGTCTTAATTGAGGATTTTGTCGGGCGACTTCGTGGAGTTGGTCCATCAAAGTTTGGATCTGTCCAGCGAAATTAGTTGGTTGTTCGGGCGGGGTAAATTGAGATTGCTCTACAACAGTCTCAACATCTTTATCGTTTTTGGCATTTTCCCCATTATTGCCGGCGCTATCGCAGGGTCTTCCGCATTTCTTGTCAGCCTCTTTCGACGTAACGCCTTCGCAAACAACATTTCTCAAAGTCATCATTGGCTGTGATTGATTACCTTCTCTGTCTTCTTCTTCTTCCTCCTCCTCCTCCTCCTCCTCCTCCTCCTCCTCCTCCTCCTCCTCCTCCTCATCTTTATCGCTTGTAACAGCTTGTACTTTACTGTTTAATTTTGATCTTCCTTCAAGCACCCAAGACTCATATCCACTATCTTCGGTACCAGTATTCAACACGAAAGACATAGTAGAGCCCTTAGATGACTCCAATACATCCCTTAGTTCGACATCCGAAGACAGCGTAATAACGTCCCCGTCTTCGTCGGAATAGGAGAGTCCAATTGGAATATTGAGAGGAATTGAGAAAAGGTGTCGAAGTTGAGCGGACAACTCAATCCAGGTTACGGTTAAGGGGAGCGTTAATTTACGGATCGTAGCGTTGTATGTAACTTTAATGGTTGACATTCTAAATTGTTATTACAGTTTACAGTAGAAAACGTGTTTGGTATTGAATGTCGGAAATGTAATATTGGGAAATTATATGCAAAAGTTTCAAGCGCGATACTGTTTCTTCAAACGATTTCGAACAATATTCTTTACTTCACGTCGGAACGTTTCAATTTATATTCTCATAATTCTACGCCAAGATTCCATGCCACCACTTTGCTCATTCGTAATCGACACGTAAACAATAGTTGCCGGGTCGTTGTGTATGACGCAGTAAGTTACAAAAATACGTGGAGAAATGCGTGTTGATTTGGAAATGTGGTTGACTGTGATTGGCGTTTGGAGTAGTACAAACAAGTGTTTCGGGTAAAAGGAATCAAAGCTATCCACGTTCAAATAAAGAAAATAAAGAGATTAACGGTATTTCATACTCGACGCATACTACGGTTTGCTCCATACAACATATGCAAATGTTGCTGATTTTTAATCTAAAAACTCATCAGTTTGAAGCATCCGTTACGAGCGAATAGGTTCTGTCGCACTAAACGGTTCGAGCTAATAGAACACCAGCATATTGTATTTTATTAAACGTTTAATAAGTAGTGAAATCGGGTTAAATTGTTGTCTACAATTATTAAACAAACCCATCTACGTATAAAGAAATTTACTCACTCTTTATAATTAACATACTCTTATTATTATTCACACTTAGTGTTGGGTGTTGCGTGTAGTGCTTAGTTTTATTCTTATGCGCCGTTATTCCTGAACGGAAATATTTAGAGTTTAAGGCTTAAACAAGCCGATAAACCAGCGTACTAAAGTTGGAGAGTAATGTCTAATGGTTCAATTAAGTGTTGAAGGTTTTTGTGAAAGTACAAAGCCGATGACATACAGTACATTTCTCCTTATATTTTGCGCAGTTTCGACCATAACAGCTTACCAATGCACAATTATAATTACTATGGGGGTTATTGCTGGAAATACAGCTCGATTGAAACGCAACATTTCGTTAGCTTTAGCTCGTATAGGAATAAGGTATAACAACCAAGTAATTTACGCTGAAGCAACATTTTTATTTTCCTGATAAATTATTCAACATATTGTAATCGTTAATCTCTGTATCGATTGAAAATTTTACTTCCAAAAAATAATTTATTATTATGGATATCAATGATGTCAGGTACGCTCCTGTCACACCATCAATCATCAATGTCATCTTATTTCAAGGATGACTTTTTCCTTACCCCAAAACCAAAACAATTCCCCACCTACCTCAAGCAACTAATTTCTACGTCCTAAAACATATCTTTCAGAAATATTACGCCTATATTCTGCGACGACGACTAACAGAATCAACGAAATCAGTAAAGTCAACGGAAACAACGGGAGTGAGTAAAGTACTGTCTCTTTCTAGTATTGCAGAACAGCATAACCAAGCCAAGCTATAATACATTTCAGGTTGGAAAGTTTTATCAACTGGGATGGTGTCTTTATGGGGGCCGTAAACTACACGATAAAGTCAAACATCGAAACAAAAATAGATGGGGTGGAAAGAGAATTGTAATGAAGCGTTTAGAAGATAGAAAAATTAGAGTACAGTAATAATAGGTAATTAACACATGTTGTAATTATATATAGGTCATTAAATCTCGTTTTATAGATCTTACCAGCTGGAATGGACCAGAATATTGAAGCATAAAGACAAAATCACATTAATAATGGAAAGAATAGACAAAGCAGTTTGGACTTTATCAATAATCCACCCAAATACTTTGGTAATAAATAACGATTTTATTTGTTTACTTGTAAAGCTAATATTGATATACTATGGTTGATATTAATGCTTATATATAGAGATTTACTAGAGTGGAAACCAAGCTTTTAACCATTGGTTCCGATAATGCTATATTGGCATCCGAGATAATTTCATTCTTGTAAGTACATAATAATAATTTAAAGTGTAAGTTTGATGTTATTTATTCTCTAAACTGCCATTTTTTGTAGCCATAAATGCTGTCGTCGTGAGATTCATATTTAACAGTTCCGCTCAGGGAACGCGACTATAAATTAACAATATTAGGTTTATTACTTGGAGATTTATTGTAAGAATTTGATATTGGACAATTTGAATCATTTTGGTACGCACAGACGCCTAATAACGATGACGTATTATTCTGTGATTTCCCGTTAATAATACGAAATATAATGTATTTTGATTGTGATCTCTCCATGTTGTAGGATTTGTTATACGTCTATTATATCGGTTTATGTCATCTACAATCCCAAATAAGGTATTAA